ATTTATATCTAGGTCATTAGGATATATACAGCGTGATTTGGGTTTAATTTCTTTTTTAAACATTCTTTTCTTTTTAAATTTTGAGTTCCAGTTTTCTTTCTCTCTCCCACTCTCCCACCCGCTGAGAAGGCAAGCAAAATCATATCAATTATACATGTGAAATCATAAAAAAAACATGTTTCCATATCAGACCTACCACAAAAAAAGAACCAAAACAATAGCACTGGAAAGTTATACTTCAGTTTGCACTTAGAGCTCATCAGTTCTCTCTCTGGTGGTGGATAGCATCTTTTTCATCGTGAGTCCTTCGGAGTTGGCTTGGATCGTTGTTTTGATCAGAGTAGGCAAGTCCTTTCACAGTTAATCATCATTGCAGTATTGCTGTTACTATGAACACTGGTCTCCTGGTTCTTCTCCCTTCACTTTGCATCAGTTCACATAGGTGTTTTTTTGTTTTGTTTTGTGTTTTTCTGAAACCACCCCCTTGTCATTTCTTATAGTACAGTAATACTCCGTCACAATTATGTGCCACATCTTGTTCAGCCATCTCCCAACTGATAAGCATCCTACCAATTTCCAATTCTTTACCAACACAAAAAGAACTATTATAAATATTTTTGTACGTATAGGTACTTTTCCTTTTTCTTTGATCTCTTTGGGGTGTACATCTAGTAATGGTATTGCTGGGTCAAAGGGTATGCACAGTTTTATTAGCCCTTTTGGCATCATTCTGAATTGTTCTCCAGAATGGCTGGACCGGTTCACAACTCTACCAACAGTGCATTAGTGTCACAATTTTTCCTTAACTCCTTTAGCATTTGTCATTTCTGATACTCATGATGCAATACCTCAGAGGTTTTGTAAATTTGCATTTCTCTCACCAATAATGATTTTAGAACAGTTTTTTTTCTTATGACTATAGATAGCTTTGATTTCTTCTTCTGAAAACTCCTGCTATCCTTTCACTGTTTATCAATTGGGGAATGGCTCTTATTTTTATAAATTTGACTCCATTCCCTATATATTTGAGAAATTTCTTTTATCGAGGAAACTTGCTATAAAATTTTTTGGTGTTACTTCATTGTGTATGGTACCTGTTAGCAAAATATAGTTTCCCTGATTATTTCTTTTAATTAGATCTATTTTTACCTTTGCTTTGTCTGAAATCATGATTACTACCTTTGCCTTTTTTACTTCAGCTGAAGCATAATGGAGTTTGTTTCAGCCCTTTATTTTAACTCCATGTGTCTTTCTGTTTCAAGTGTGTCTCATGCAGACAACATGTTGTTAGATTCTGGTTTTTAATCCACTCTGCTGCTTCCATTTTATGGGTGAGCTGGATAGGTTGTTCTTGGTTGTAATTCTAGCTCTTTTGCCTTCCTGAATATCCTATTCCAAGCTCTCTTATAGAGATAAAATGTCACCATAGAAAGAAATTTCACCATAGAAACTATACTGGATTTGGAGTCAGATGACCTGTGTTCACATTCTTTTTCCTGTGTGTCCTGGAGACAATCACTTACTCATTCTATGACTCAGACTAAGAAGAGATGTCAAGAATACGCAAAAGAATTATACAAGAAAGATCTTAACATCATCAATAAACATAATGGTGTGGTTACTGCTCTAGAGCCAGACATTGTGGAGAATGAAATCAGATGAACCTTAGGAAGTATTGCTAATAATAGAACAAGTGGAGGTAATGGAATTCCAGCTGAGCTATTTAAAACCCTAAGAGATGATTCTGTTAAAGTGCTGCGCTCTATAGGCTGGCAAATTTGGAAAACACAACAGGGGCCACTGGATTGGAAAAGATCAGTTTACATCCCAGTCCTAAAGAAGAGCAATGCCAAGGACTGTTCAGATTACCAAACAATTGCTCTCATTTCACATGCTAGCAAGGTTGTACTTAAGATTCTGCAGGCTAGGCTTCAACTATATGTAAACCAAGAATTACCAAAAGAGCAAGATGGTTTTCGAAGAGACAGAGGAACTAGAGACCAAATTGCTAACATTTGCTAGATTGTGGAGAAAGCAAGGGAGTTCCAGAAAAAAACATCTACTTCTGCTTCATTGACTGCACTAAAACCTTTAACTGTGTGGATCACAATAAAATGTGGCAAGTCCTCAAAGAGATGGGAGTACCAGATCATCTTGTCTCCTGAGGAACCTGTATGCAGGCCAAGAAGCAACAGTTAGAATCAAACATGGAATAACTGATGGGTTTAAGATTGGAAAAAGAGTACCACAAGGCTGTATATTGTCGCCTTATTTATTTAATTTATATGCAGAGTACATCATGCTAAATGCCAGTCTGGATGGATCAAAAGCTAGAATTAAGGTTACTGGGAGAAATATCAACAATCTTAGCTATGTAGATGATACCACTCTGATGGCAGAAAGTAAAGAGGAGTTAAGAAACCTTTGATGAGAGTGGAAAAGGAGAGTGTAAAAGTTGGCTTAAAGCTTACCATAAAAAAAAAGAAAGATCCCATCACTTCCTGGGAAATAGAGGGAGAAGAAATGGAAGCAGTGTCAGATTTTATATTCTTGGGCTCAAAGATGGTGACTACAATTATGAAATTAAAAAATGTTTGTTCCTTGGGAAAAAAAAAAGCTGTGGAAAATCTGAAATGCATACTAACAAGCAGAGACATCACTTTGCTGATAAAGGTCTATGGTTTTTCCATAGCTGTCGTTTTTCTAGTAGTAATGTATGGCTGTGAGAGTTGGATTGCAAAGGAAAGCTGAGCGCTACAGAATTGATCCTTTTGAATTGTGATGATGGAAAAGATTTTTGGGAGTCCTTTGGACAGCAAAGAGGTGAAATAAGTCAGTATTTAAAGAAATTAATTTAGGCTACTCACTGGAAGGTCAAATGCTGAAGCTTAAATACTTTGGCCCCAAAATGACAAGATGGGACTCTGGGAAAGGACCCTGATGTTGGGCAAGATGGAAGGCGCAAAGAAAAGGGATGGCAGAGGATGAGATGAATAGAGATAGTGTCATGGAAGCAACAAACATGAACTTGGACAGACTTTAAAAGGTAGTGGAGGATAGAAGGGCCTGGTGTACTATGGTCCCTGGGGTCACAAAAAGTCAGACATTCCTGAACGATTGAACAACAACAAAGTGAAGTCATTAGATTAAATGACTATAAAGTCTTTTGCACCTCTAAAACTGTTATCCTTTGAACTAGAAAATAAGTGCTCCTTGATGTATTTTTTTCTTTACATAGCCAAAGGAATATGGGGTTTAAGCTTCAATGGAGAGTCCAGCTTTACTACCCATTCTACTTAAGACTTTTAAACTAATTATTGAAATTAAACTTTGTGTATGAGCTAAAGGGTAACTATTAAATCTAATTGTGATGTGGAATTAGAATCCTTATGTTTCACTGGAGCAATATCAATTGAATAAAGTATTGAGTATTTTATAGCCAACTAATTGATTTTTGTTTCCTGAACTAAACCGTATTCCCACATGTTTGAGTACATTCATTTTTAGGTTATAATGCAATTTACTGTAATTAGCTAATTTGAATGATCCATGAAATTCTGTTAAACCAGGGATTCATTTGCTAACTATGCATTGGATAGTTCATCTAAATTGATTGGCATTCTTCCAGAGTATGGATTGCTGACTCCATCTCAACTCATCACGTAGATAATTGTCACACATTCCTTTTGTAGGTTTTATGATGGCAGAAGCTTGTAGAATCAGGAAAAGAAATTAAATATCTGTTTTTTTAATTAATGCTGTTGTGGATACAAGTCAATCACTACTATAAAATTGTGAAAAATAAAATAATTGAGGATGTAGAAAATTATTTTTTCAGATGTTTACATATATAGTATTTAAACAGTTCAAGTTACTAGTTACAGAACGTGTAGAGATGTTTTATTTTCAAAGAAACTGGACAATTTATCATAATGAGAAAATATGACTTCTAAAAACCAAATGACTAAAGAGAACAGTTCAGCTGAATCTTTACTATTCAGTAACAGAAAGCAAGAAAGACTTCTTAACCATTACCTCAGTGATATAACAAAATCACAAGTGGTTTTTGGTTTCTTTTGTTTTTCTTGTAATAGGCTAAATTTGAAATGAGGTACTCAAGCTCACATTTTATTGCCCTTAAAACTTATTTTATATAATTCAAGATGATTTCAGTTTAAATGAGTGTGGCACTAGACCTTGAATCTTGATATTTAGGTTTAGTTTTAACTCAATTGTTGGTTCATAGGGTGAACTTGAGCAGTAGGTTTGTTCATGTCCGCCTCCCATTCAGTGAGCTCCAGTGGTTCCATGTTTTTTCCAGGAGTAAGTATGAAGTCCTCCGTTGGGCATTTGAAGCTCATCATTACCTTGCCTCTCCTAATTTCCCGAATTAGGCAACTCTCTTTTTTTCTTTGAACTTTAACTTATTAATTTGTAAAATATAGGAGTTGGATTTAATTGCCTCCAAGATCCCTTCTAGTTCTGAAATTCTATGATTCTCTGAAATTTCCTTGACTACATAAACTCCTTTGCTACCTAGGTTGTTTTTATGTATTTTGTACAGAACTTGAATGCCACAGGTATGTATTTCATTTTTCAGTCATGTCTGACTCTTCATAACCCCATTTTGGGTTTTCTTGGCAAAGAAACTGGAGTGATTTGCCATTTCCTCCTCCAGCTCATTTTATAGGTGAGGAAACTAAGGCAAATAGGGTTAAATGACTTGCCCAGGATCACACAGCTAGTAAGTGTTTGAGGCCAGAATGGACAGAGTGCCAGACCTGGAGTCAGGAAAACCTAAATTAAAATCCAGCCCCTGATGCTTACTAGCTATGTGGTCCACGTCAAGTCAGGTATATATTATTTACCTAATAAAAGGAGTATCTCTTTTCAGACGATAAACTCCAGTACACTTGTTAAACCCGACCATATTATTTTAACTCAGTTTGTGGTGCAGGAGAAAATATCATTTACATAATTTTAAACTATTTCTCTTTCAGGATAATGTGTTAAACATTATAAATCAGATAATGGATGAATGCATTCCAAGTGATCGAGCAAATCGGGATTTTTGTGTTAAGTTCCCAGAGGAGATACGTCATGATAATCTGGCTGGTCAGCTTTGGTTTGGGGCAGAGGTAGGATTTCTGATTTCTGTGATTTTGTTTTTGTAATGTGCATAACTAACAAATAAATATACCTTCTCTTGGTATTTGAAGCTGAAACAACATAGACTTATACCTATTACTTTAGGTTTTTCGGCTTGCTTTCTTCAAAACAGTTTTTTAAAGGAGGTAAAGCCATTATTCCTATTGTTATTTTTCAGGTGAGGAATCTGAGGCTGAAAAGAGTTAAGCAGTTTACTCCAGACCACATGGCTAGGAGATGACAGAACTGGGATCTGAATCTAGGTCTTCTAACTCTACCCTAGTTCTCTTTCCACTGCACAATGTCATGGACATAATTTTCCCATTCATGTATTAAAGAAAATAAGATTTAAATTGGGCAAATTGCCATCTGTTCTCAGAGTTATTTTTTGTTTAAAGAATATCTGGTTATTTTTAGTGAGCACAGGAACAAACAACTGGGAGCCATATCTTTAATTTACATATATATTTTTTCAATTTTGAAAGCAAAAAAAAATTTAATCTGTTGATACTTTAGAGTAATATAACTTATGCTATCTTAAACCTTCATTTTGGTGAGACTGCTGTTAATAAATGTCATTTTCCTGAGCATGCCAATTAGACTTATTTTCCTAGGACATGCGTACTCAACTTTTTTTATAAGGAAGACTTTATTTCTTGAAATCTTCAGATCTTCATAACATTTGTATTAGGGAAAAAGGTTGCTGATTATGAAAATTTAGATGATTTGTTATTTCCTGCGGTTTAAAATTGTTTAGTCAGTTAGTCATGTCTGACTCTTTGTGACCCTATTTGGGGTTTTCTTGGCAAAGGTCCTGGACTGATTTGCTATTTCCTTCTCCAGCTCATTTTACACATGAAGAAACTGAGTAAAACTGCATGCCCGGGGTCACACAGCTAGTAAGTGTTTGAGGCACTCTATCCACTGCGCCACCTAGCTGCCCAGAGTTTAAAATAGTGTCATTGATTTAGTGCAATAAAGGGACCTTTGAGATCATATAATGTAGAGGTCCTGAACCTAGGGGCTGTCAATTTATTTAAAAGTATTTTCATAACTATATTTCAGTACAAATGGTTTCCCATATGTTTTATTTTATTAATTTAAAATATTATTCTGGGAAAGGGTCCATAGACTTCACCAGACTGCCGAAAGGGTCCATGACACAAAACAAGTTAAGAACCCCTAATCTAATCTAATTTTTAAACAAGTCTAATTCTTACAGATGACATTGAGACTGTGAGAGGAAATAGACTTTTTATCTTATAGTTTTTTCAAAAATTTACCCAACTACCTTTCTTCAGAAGGTTTCCCCTTCCCTCAAGTGTTTATTGTAGTATTTATTTCAATAATAATAGCTAACATTATATATGGTGCCTTCTGTGTACAAGGTACTGTGGTAAGTACTTTACAAATATTATCTCTTTTGATCCTCACAACAACCCTGGGAGGTAGGTGCTGTTATTATCGCCATTTGTTGTTGCTATTGAGTCATTTCAGTTGTGTCTGACTCTTGGTGACCTCATTTGGGGTTTTCTTTGCAATGATACTGGAGTGGTTTTCCATTTCCTTCTCTAGCTCATTTATAGATGAGGAAACTGAGGCAAACAAAGGTTAAGCGATTTGCCCAGTATTACACAATTAGTAGTTGTCTGAGGGTGGATAACTCAGGTGTTCTGACACCAGGCCCAGTGCTCTATCCACTGTACCACTTACTTGCCCTCTTTTGATATATGTTAAGCAAATAAGCAAATGATTGGAAAACTCTGGCATGGTCCAAGAGAAAAGGGATTAGAGAGGTTTCTTGGAACCCTATTAAATAAGTAGATTACATTAAGGATGGGAAGACATTGCCCTAGCATTGTTTATATCTCTATATTTACATATTAGTGAAAATTTGTTCAACTGGCATAGGAAAAGGGAATACTCTCATAGGAATATCTTCATACTATATACTAGCACAACAAATTATTGTAAAATTTGCTAGAATTACAGTTTTCTTCAACAGTTGCTGCATGCTAGACAAGCAACTAAATTCACAAAAATAGGAACTTAAAAATCAAGTAGGGAAAAGTAAATTAATTTTAAGCCTTTTTTTTTAAATTGGCAAAATATTTTCTTAGTCTTTGTTTTGCCCCAATTCATGATGTTTTCTAAATAATGAGAATCAAAAAGGCCAACAAAATGTATTGCTATCTACTTTTGTCTATTTGGACAGTCATAACTAAGGAAATTTATATGTCAAAATTATATTTATAGTTCAAACTCTTAACTTTCTTATCTCTCCTGTTTTAACAGTGCTTGTCTGCAGGTTCAATTATCATGAATCGTGAAATAGAGAGCATGGCTATGAGGCCACTAGCTAAGGATCTGACACGTAGCTTGGAAGAACTTAGAAACCTCATTCGGGACCAAGCCTTAAGAGATTTAAATATTTATACTGAAAAAATGAAAGAGTCTCTCAAACATTTTGATGTCCTATTTGCTGAATTTGAGTTGAGGTAAATTTTAAATGCTATAAATACTTGCAATGAGCATTCACAAGTATAACTTCCATGTTATTTTTCTATGACTGTGGCTAAATTTTCAAAGCTTTGATGTTTATATTTATTTCCTAAGCAGAAAGATTGATTCTTATAGCAAGTTGAATGGCCAAAAAACTAATTACATGATGGAGGCCATTCTAGTTGTGGGCAAATCCCAACGTGTGAAACCAATCATTTAATCAAGTATTTATTAAGCACTTATTATGTTTCAGTGAATTCATGATCTCATTAATGTGAGTACTTTCTCCATCAGAGCATATCAGATTCCTATCCCCTTCTCATCATGTGCGAATCTTGTCCACATTCTTTTATTCTCCAACATGCAGGAGGCCTTCCTTTAGGGGAATGGTTCTTAACCTTTTTTGTGTCCTATTCCCTTTGACAATCAAGTAGAACTAGACTGAGATAATTTTTCAGAGTAATGTTTTTGAATAAATGAAATAAATATTGAAATGTTATCAAAATGTTGAAAAGCCAAGTTTATGGACTTTTGATTAAGAACCCTTGCTCTAGAGTGTAGGTCTTTTATCATTAAGTGCAGTGTAGAGTTTTGGCTGTCCATTTTTTGTCTGTCACTGCATAACTAACCCACCCCCTTTTCTAACCATATATCTCCTGGATGATATATAGTTGAAAAAAAGTACAGTTTTATCTTTTTGTTTTTACTCGACAAATATTTCTCAATGTCCCCACACCCCCAGAGATCCATCTCTTATAACAGAGAATAAAAAGGGAGAAAAAAAAAACAATGCAGCAAGACTGAGCAGCATAACAAAGAAGTCTGACATCATCAGTAATATTCTACAACGGTAGTTCCTTACCTCAACTAAGAAGGGAGGAATGTGCCCTCTCATGTTTTTTCTGGTCATCATAATTTTACAGCATTTAGTTTCAATTATTTTGTGGTGGTTCTTCCTATTTATATTGTTGTCATCAGTGTGTATTTTTTTCTATTTTATATAAGTTCCTTTCAGTCT